CTACTCATCCATCCATCCATTCATCCATCCACCTACCCATCCACCAACCCATCCATCCATCCATTCACCCACCCACCCACCTATCCATCCTCCTATCCATCCACCCATCTACTCATGCATCCATCCATCCATCCACCCACCCATATACTCAATTATCCATCCATCCATCCATCCATCCTACTCACTCATCTATCTATTCACCTACCCATCCATTCACCCACCCACCCACCTGTCCATCCTTCCATCCATCCACCCATCCACCCATCTACTCATCCATCCATCCATCCACTTATCCATACTTCCATCCATTCTTCCATCCACCTATCTACTCATCCATCCATCCATCCAACCACCCATCTACTCATCTACCCATCCATCCTTCTACCACCCACCCATCCATTCATCCTCCTACCCATATACTCATCTACCCATCCATCCACCCATCCACCCATCCATCCATTCTTCCTTCCTTCCATCCATCCACCCATCTACTCATCCATCCATCCATTCATCCACCTATCCACCCACCCATATACTCATTTATCCATCCATCCATCCATGCATCCATTCACCCACCCACCCACCTGTCCATCCTTCCATCCATCAACTATCTACTCATCTATCCATCCATCCATCCATCCACCTACTCACTCATCTATCTATTCACCTACCCATCCATTCACCCACCCACCCACCTGTCCATCCTTCCATCCATCCACCCATCTACTCATCTATCCATCCATCCATCCACCCATTCACCCACCCATATACTCACTTATCCATCCGTCCATCCATCCATCCACTTACCCATCCATCTATTCACCTACTCATCTACCCATCCATTTATCCATCCATCCATCCATTCACCCATCTACTCATCTACCCACCCACCCATCCATCCATCCACCCTTCCATCCATCCACCTATCCACCCTTACATCTATCCACCCATCCACCCATGCATCCATCCATCCACCTATCCATCCATCCCACCCATTCATCCATTCACTCATCCATCTACCCATTTATCCATCCTCCATCCCTTATGGAGTTAATTGTGATTTTACCCATTTTGCTACAGTAAAAAGTGAGGGAGAGAGAATGAAAAGATTCCCACTATTGACAGCATCATTCCAGGTACTCGCCCTCTAACACTTGGTGGGCTCATGAGGAAGTTACATGTCCTGGAAATGAAGAATGGTTTTCCCTGGTGCTCAGTTACCTGGGCTTTACCCTTGCTTGGCAATTTTCCAGCTGAATGACCTTGGGCAAGTCATGGCTTTACCATGTAACGGAGATGACATTTCTACAGTGTAGGGTTGTGAGAACTGAGTGGGATAATGTGTAGGATCCCTTGGGTCCAGTGTCTGGCATGGGGTGAGTAATCCGATCAGTGTCAGCTTCTGCTCCCTGAGACTCCTCCAGTAACATGGAGACTTTATCATCTCTACCCTCCTGTCCTCTGTTTCTCTGACCATTTGCAGGGCAAGATTGCTTTGAACAGCTCCCTGTTCTCTGTGTATAACTTTTTTTTTTTTGAGTTGGAGTCTCACTCCTTTGCTCGGGCTGGAGTGCAGTGGCATGCTCCCGGCCACCGCAGCCCCCACCTGCTGGGCTGCGGCGATCCTTCCGCCTCAACCTTCCAAGTAGCCGGAACTACAGGTGTGTGCTACCACACCTGGCTAATTTTTGATGTATTGTAGAGACAAGGTCTCGCCAGGTTACCTAGGCAGATCTTGAACCCGTGGGCTCAGGCAGTCCACTTGCCCCAGCCTCCCAAAGTGCTGGGATTACAGGCTGAGCCACTGAGACCGACCTATATAACTCATTATACCTCTTTTACACTCCTTTCTCACCATAACAACTCAGGGGTTTTGGTGCCTGGATCTTGATCTGATGAACCCTACTTTTGGGGACCGGTGGCCTCCCCCCATCTCTGCAATCCCACAAGCTCTCCTCTCCATCAGCAGCTGGCCGTCCAGGTGGCTGAGCTGTGATCTGGCTAACCCAGAGAATGTGTCTCTCTCCTCTCTCACAGGGACTCGGACCTCTTCCTGCTTGACAGTCGCACCCTCTGGGCTTCGGAGGAGGGATGGCTGGTGTTTGACATCACGGCCACCAGCAATCACTGGGTAGTCAACCCACGACACAACCTGGGCCTGCAGCTCTCAGTGGAGACACTGGATGGTGAGTCCCTGGGCGTCACCACTCCCAGTTCTGGCCAGTCAGTGCTCCTGGACTTCAGGAGGATCTTGGCAGGGTCTCATGCTTGTTCCACCGAGAGCAGGCGTGTCCACCCCTCCCAGCCAGCTCTCAACGCTCAGCCTTTTGATATAAACCAGAAGCAGTCCCTCCTCGCCTTCGCATGAGAAGACCGCAGGGTTGGCCACAACTGGATTGGGTATGGCCTCATTGCCCAAAGGTTGGCCTCACATCAGTAGGGGTGGCATCCCTCTTATTAGAAATGCAGACTCTTAGCCGGGCTCGGTGGCTCAGCCTGTAATCCCGCG